ATTAATCTTAAGATTTGGCTTTCTATATTCTTCTAAGTCAGTTACCACTTATCATTTTGCTGTCCAGCTTTTAAAATTTTGTTGCCTTTGTCTCCTCTCCTGTGGCCTTCAAGTTTGTGATATTAAAAAAACAATGATTTTATTGTTCTTCTAGTAAGGTATTAGGGAATGCAAGTGTTTAATCTTTCATCTTTAACTAGAAGTCCATTTCAGACTTTATTTTGTTTAAGTTTGGCTCTGTCCTCACCACTCCATTAAGCTGCACTTTTCAAGGTCAGCAATAATCTCTCTTTTGCCAAATTTAATGGACACCTACATATCCTCATCTTCTTTGACCTTTTAACAGCATCACAGAGCTTATCACTTTCCCGTGAAACACTCTCCATTCTTGGTTTCCAAGACACCATATTATATTCTTTCTCAGTGTTTTATTTGGAATTTTGTTGACTTCTCCCCCTCTACCCAGCATCTAAATATTGAAATGCCTCAAGGCTCTGGAGCCTCCAGGAAGCCCTGGTGCATCTTCTCTCCTTTATAAACACTCTCTTTTGATGATCTCATCTATTATAAACCACTAATACTGGCAATGTTTAAATTTTTATCTTCCAAATTACCTCTCTCTACAAATACACATTAATATACCTAACTCCAAATTCCACCTGAATTTCTGATAGGTATCTCAAATTCCGTGGTTTCACATGAAGCTCATATTTTCCCACCTAAGCATATTTCTCCCCTTGTCCATCTCAGAAAATGTCACCATCATTCAATTGCTCAAGCAAAAAGGCTGCGTCATCTTTTATTCCAGCCTTTCCTTTGTCCCCCATATCTGGCCCATCATCAGTGTTTAAGGGGTACATCTCCAAATGTATCATCAAGCTCTTCTCCATCACAACTGCTATCACTTCCATCTCACCACCATTCTCTTCTTCCACTGCAATATCCTCCTAATCGGCACCTACCTCCATTCTTGCCTTACTCCAATCCACTCTCTACATATCAGATAGTCCATCAATTTTATCTACTTAGACACACTTCTCTGAACTTCAGAATTATCTATAAAGTTACACACCTATGGTCCC